GTGTCAATGATTAACAGCTCCTTTTTCAAGAAATTACTCGAAATGCACCCCCTCGCAGATTACTGCTGAAAATGGGAAACTGAAGAGAGGAAGAAATCAGAATTTGACGAAATTCTAATTCTTTTCTGAGTTATATGAGTTTCGGATTCTCATCATCACATTGTTGAAAACATAGACAGAGACAGAATATGCGAATAAAAATGCAGACAGACTTTCAACCAATGCAAATAGTTACAAAAATATTGATATGGTTTATGCATTCGACCAAAAGACGTTTAGAGTAAACAAATTAAAGTACAAAGTAGTAGGGGGATAATGTGTCTTGATAGAGAGCGCAAAAAAATGAGAAAGAAGGAGTAAGAAAAGTGCGACATAAGATAAAGAGAAAAGGAGATAAAAAAGAGAAAAGAACAAGAGAAGATAAAACAGAGTAACAGAAGAGTAAAAGAGAAATGAATAAAAAGGGAGCGAAAAAAGACCAAACAACTTGCTTTGACCAGAGATGCTAAAATAGTGGGATACATATATATATATATATATATATATATATATATAGAGAGAGAGAGAGAGAGAGAGAGAGAGAGAGTGAGAAAGAGAGTTAACTTCAATTTTCTTATTTGCTTATTAGCCAGTGAAAAATTAAATATCATCTTATTCTATTGACTAATCAATGTTTGTTTGTATTTTTTTAAGAAATGATCAAGTACCATTTGGATCGATTTGGAAAATTATGTGTCGTTTTGTAGTACTGTGTTTTATTAGTTGAAATTTTGCAGGAAAATATAACTTTTATTGTATTTAAAATTGGATATTACCATATTCCTCCTTCATATTGAGAATAAATAATTAGGGTAATTGATTGTCAGGACACGTCCAAGGAATCCGTTGATTTCCGGAAAATGCCAAGGTTGCATTTAAGTTTTTTAATTTCCGGGAAATGTCACGTGCTCAAATCAGCTTGACGGACGCGGAAGAACGATCCATTAAGTGAAACCCTTTACACTTCGTAAAGTACTACGAATTTTAACGAGCGCCAAATGAACATGATCGTTCTTTTAGGATTCGTATGAGAATTATGTATGATTTCGAGGTAATATCGAACAATTTCAGTGCGATTGTTGGCAAGCCTTTTTTTAAATTTTAAACGTTCAAATAATGTAAAAAATTAGTTTGTACTTTGTTTATTTTACAACGAGTGTAAAATCGAGTGGAAACACCACCCAATTCAGCACTAAGGCGTCCGCGCTTAAACCCGTATATGACTCGTAATAATTGGCAACCGGTTCGAAGATGTCTCGAGGGGTGACTATGTATATAGGGAGGGTTGCAACTGGGTTAGTGGGTGGCTCACCCCAGGATACCGAGCTCATTTTTAAACCCTCCGTCTGAGGGTTGTGCTTCGTAACCGATATACATTTTTTCCAGGATGATTCATATCCCACTTAAAAATTCTCTCCAGTCCTACCATTTAACATCATGTAGGATTATATCTTTATAGAGAATTTGTATTTCTTTATTTTTTTACAAACACTTAGTTGTTATGTGAGCGTTAGCAATTCATTTACATATCCTAATTTATATGTTTTATTAGAACATACATCCATATGAGAATCATAAGTTCTTAAATTACACAAAGTGCTATTAATCTCTTTATTTTATTTCTGAAATTACACACACACCCACCCACCCACACACACACACACACACACACACACACACACACACACACACACACAACACTGACGCATGCTCACAAAAAAGAATTCAGAGCACAAACAACACAGTCCCACACATTTTCTCTATTCTTTTTTGTTCTTTCTCTCTTTGAAAAGAATACATACAACAAATCAATTTCGCTATATATATATATATACCTATCCATCTATCTATTTCGCTCCAGTATTGTTCCTTCTCTCTTTATGTTTTTTCTCTTTCTCATTTGTCACTTTTCTATACCCTCTATCGCTCTACAGCTTTCTCTCTTTTCTGTCCCTCTCTCTCTCTCTTCCTCCTTTATTCCACTCTTTTTCCTCTCACAATTATTAATAAAACAATGATTTAAAAACTAGTTATAAGCTATACATGCTGAGGTATATCTAATGGCTGAATAAATTTTACATTAACTTGCTAATGCGTTATTCATACCATTATTGCTATCTATATCATCTCTCTCTCTCTCTCTCTCTCTCTCTCTCTCTCTCTTCCTCCTTATCCGCCTCATCTCACTCTCTTTCTTTCTTTCTTCCTCTATCTGAAATCATCTATCTCTCTATTAGTAAGAACAACAGACAGAAAAACGGAACAACAAAAAAATAAATAAAATATGGTAATCAATAAGGAATTGTCAATTTTAGACAAATAAGAAATATACAAAAATGATCTAGCTTTCGGTGCATAGCGAAAAAACTATGTCCACATGGTTACAATTGAAACCGGTTTTCATTGATTTTGTATTAACGATGAGTGTGTTCTGGACCAAAATTGGGCATTGTCAGTACTAAAAACATTAGAATAATTTTAATAAATGTCTCTAAATTCATCAAATTGTATGAATTTGTAACGCCAAACAATATAGAAATAATATTAGATTTATGTAGAATATATACGAATTATTTTTACTCTGTTTGTATTAAAAATCGGGGATAAGACGAATTCACAGTTTCTTCGTCAAACTTTTGAGGAAAAAATCCACTTGATCGGGTCTTTGAAATAATCGAATTGAGCTTTCAACTATTATCACAAAAGATAATGCAAGGTTAGTTAATTAATCTCAATATAAGAAGTTTTAGCAAAAAAATAAATAAAATAAACTTGTTTACAGCTACATTCCTTACTTTAGGCTCAATTCCGTGCATCAAATGGCAAAAATTAGTATAACTACAATTACTCTTTCAGACACCGTAGTCGCATGATGATATGGCTCGATAAATAAACAATACTCTAGTCGGTTGAGAGGGCCTCTACTAATCGGTATGGCTGATTCCTTCAGCTTATTCATTTCAATCCAATAACGATTAACAAATATAAACATCTACTTACATTATGAAAAATTATGAGTTCAAACATAATAAATTTATGGTGATGGTATAGTGGACCAGATCTATCACTCGTCCAACCTTCATTGCAATTGTGGTGATTATGGTGATACTCATGTTTCATGTTATATCCATGTTTGGGAGTGAAAACGTTGAACTTTTAAACCGCCAATGAGCTTTTATTTTTTTTGTTTCACTTATTACCAATGCTTGTACATTCTAGCTGCCAGAAGTATACTATAATAAGTAGCAACTGACCTACATATTATAGAGTTTATAGTGGAAAGTATTTCTAAGACAATAGTTTTTTTGTAATTGTCCTACTTAAAAACCAGACCATAAAGTTTATACTGCTTAAACTGATCGTGAAAATGTGTTATTATGTTAATGTTAATTATTGTTTGTTAAAGCAATAGTTCCCAGAGTTTTACATTGAAATATGCGCCGATAAAATTTATTATTTAAAAACATAGCGGATAATAAAAGACTAAAGTTTTATTAGAACAGAATAATTATTATACTGACTACTAAAAAAATGTTATATGGGTAAATTAAATTATACACTTGGTAGAATGTACCAGATCTATCACTCGTCCATCTTTCATTGCAATAGTGATTATTATGGTGTTACTCTAGTTTGTTTTTATATCCATGTTTGTGGGTGAAAAAGTTGTAATTTTAAACCACCCATTACCTGCTTTTAATTGTTTTTATATTTTACTTACTGCCAATGCTTGTACATTCTAGCTGCCAGAAGTATACTATAATAAGTAGCAACTGACCTACATATTATAGAGTTTATAGTGGAAAGTATTTCTAAGACAATAGTTTTTTTATAATTGTTCTACATAAAAACCAAAAAATATATGTAAGTTTATACTGCTTAAACTGATTGCGAAAATATGTTACTGTGTTAACGTTACTGTGTAATGTAACATTTTTTAAAGTAATTTTTAAAGTAATAGTTCCCAGAGTTTTTTTGCCTAAGAGGGGGCCAACATCGACTCTCTGGGTCCTGAACCCTACTGTGGCTTATCATCCTGCCACAAAATAGGATACATCTTAAAATGGATCTTTAATGAATCTAAAGCCTGGTGGAAGAATGCTACAAGTATGAGGCACGCAAAGAGATTCATACTATCCGCAAAACTTACAAAAGAATTACTGGAAAGCAACCGCAACCGAACCAGAATTCTGGTTGGACTCCTGACAGGGCACTGCCACTTAAGAAAGCACAGGAATACAGACTAAAGAAACACTGTGCAGATACTGCCAGGAAGATGAGTAGACAGCAAAACTATGTTCTATGTTTCTGTCAAGGTCTATGTATGTGCAGGTCGAGGTGCAATAGGCCATGTTGCCGCCTCTTTTATCCCTATCCTAGAGTTTTACATTGACGTATGCACAGTTAGAATTATTATTTAAAAACACGCGGGTAATAAAAGCCTAAAGTTTCATGAGACCAGAAAAATTGTTATATGGATTAATAAATTTTTTTTATATGGGTAAATTAAATTATACACTTCTTTGAGTAGTTGAACGTTTATTATTTGGTTTTTATGACTGTTTTTTAAATATTATTTTGAAAGCTTAGGGGAGCCTATTTTATATTGTTTATATTTTAAGTTTCTGAGCATATTAAAAGTGACGAGAATAAAAAAATAAAAAATGCATGGTAGTAATATACTAGATTGAAGAGCAGGGAAGCCTCTGATGAAAATAGCTTTGGCTTCATCGTATATTATTCTCATTTCTACCTTTCAGATCTCACCTGTATTAACCGGGAGGAGAGTGAGAGGATTAGAAAGAGAGGGAAAAAAGTTATGTTGTAGAGTTGGGTGCGCAGTCGAGGTCCCGCCTCTCGCGGGGCGGTCCCAAAAAATACCTCGGAGGCGGTGAGAATCAATAAGGAAGGGGGTGGCCCGGCTCGGGAGGTTTCGGCAGGGGTCGCGGACCGTCGTCGGGGGCGGCTAGAGGGGGCGGCATGAACCCGAGCCAGGCCCTGAGTCTGCCCCAAACTCTCCTACAGAGCACAACCCCTGGCCACTCACTCAACCAACTTTTACATACAACACCAGAGGTGAGTAACAACAATAACAAACTTTCATTACTTTGTTTGAGTTTTCCAAACTTTAGCCGCCCGCCCCGCCGCCTTGTACCCTTGCCCCCCTTCGAGTTGGGCCCTTGTCGGACACCCCCACTTCCTCCGCCGGTACTTAGTTCGGGGAAAGAGGGGGGCCAAGGGAACTTTACTTAAGTTTATGACAGTTTAGAAAACTTTTTCAACCCCCCCTCCTCTGAGGTTTCGAGACTCGTGAAACGGCCTGCCCATGCAGTCACGAGGCCAAGATACCGCGAGCCGGTCTCCTTTCTTCATTCTGACCCATTATACATAATAGCAAATAAAATTATTTTTTAAAATTTTAAAGTGATCCGTCCTTTTTTAACAAAGTTGTCGGTAGTTACAAAGCACATGAGCTACTCTGTCCGCGCCTACTGTTCAAGTCTAACCGGTAGTCAACTCTTCCTCTCTCGACGCCCACTTCCATTCTCCAACAATAAAATGTTAAGGTATGCATGAAACAACATTAACTTTGCCATCTTCACTTCTTTAAACAACATAATCTTAATTATACGATGCCTAGCAATAAAGGTACATTTTTTTCAACGTCTTCAGCAATCCAGCAAGAAATAAAACTTTTTTCACACGATTGAAGTAGCAACTTATAAAGGATTAACAATCCTATTTAATTGATAACTAAATAAATTGGCTTTGTATATCAAATTGATTATTGATTTTACTCTTTTTCTTAAGTAGATATTCTTCCTTCATTCTTTTATTATATCAATCTGAAAATAATCTTTGATATTAAAATTAACCTTGCATGAATCTTGAATGCTTTTTGAGATAGTTTTCATATCATAATTTCCTTATCGTATTGTATGACAAATTTAGAAACTTTGCTTCTATTTTCCTTTTTGTCGTTTTCATAATTTCTTAGAAACAATTGTTTTTTCATTAAATTTTACTCTGATGCAATGACTTTTGTAATGTAAGTTATTTATGACTGCAATTTAAGTATAGTTTTAATAGGATTAATATAAAATTACTTTGAATTGATTTGAATTGATTAAATTGATTACTTGTAAAATTTTTTGTTATTATTATTCTTTGCTCTCTCTCTCTCTCTCTCTCTCTCTCTCTCTCTCTCTCTCTTTATGTATGTATCTATCTATTTTTTATATAGAAATAGACTAATTAATATTATTCTCCAAATTTAAACAAATACATTAAGCTGTGTTTACTTTAAAATTTATTTACCCGGCTTTATTATCACGCCTTACGTAATTTTACCTAAAGGATTAAATAGTTAAAATTGTTCAATGGGGTAGTGAAGGTTATTCATTTAAATATTGAATTAAAATCAAAACAATTTAAAACAGTTTGCTATTAATATTTGTTTTTACTATGCCATCACGCAAAATTTTGTAATTTAAATTTTCAGTTCGTTATTGTCATGGTGTTTTCGTCAAACATATTATGGGACATCTTAAGCAGAGGTTTCTGACAGCGTAAAATCACTGATTTATTATTAAGGTGGATGGTATATAATTTTTTTAGTTAATGAAAATGGAAGTTTTTCAAAGAAAAATTGTTTTAATTTACGTTTACCAATGCACAATTATTTTGCATTAACAATTTTTTTTATAGAAGACATTACTCCAGTATTGCAGATAGGTAGGATTGCCTGGAATATACCCCTTCTAGAAGTAAAATTTATATAGATCTGAACAAATTAAGTACAATAAAAATAATAAAAAAAATAAAAAATCCCTAACTTAAATGTTTTAAATCAAGTTAATAAAACAAGTAGACAAAAAATTTTAATTATTTTATAAGGTAGTAAAGCTGTAATTGGTAAATTTGTTTAACAAATATAAACCTGTGCCAACAAATGCTTTTTTTATGCTAAAGTGATATAAAAAATATGTATTTTAAGTTATTGACAGTATAGTTTAACTTTTTAAATTAAGGCAACAAAGTAAAAATTAATCAAAAGAAATTTTTAAATAATTTTATAAAATAATAAATAAGACATGTAGTTGGGCTATGTTAAATAAAAACAAATTATATTATGCTGTTTTTTGTTTTTTTTTAATTTGATATGTGCTGCCACATAGAATCTAAGAAAAACTGTTTCATTAGGCTGATGTTTTGAAAACTTTATTGACTTTTTTCAAGGCAAAACGCAAGCACTGATTCTCAGTTATTTCTCTATTTTAATTTCGACAAGATAAAACTCCTAGAACCATGCGTTTTGCCTCGAAAAAATGACCAAAATGTCGGTCAAATGAATTAGGATCTTTTTTATTAAGTGACCACAGAGCATAAATTCAAAGAAAAAACAACGTACATAATCTCAACGGTCACCTTCTATTTATTTTATTTTGCTTTTTATCATGCTGACTTTATACTTTTAAACAAGTGAACCTAATGTAAAATTAAAAATTGTATTTTTTATTGAGTTTTTCCTTATGAAAGCAAATTCATTAACATTAAATATTTACGCACATACTATTTTATATAAATTATGGCATTAAAAATATCTTCCGGGTTGAGTTCTATGAACAAAATCTGTCGTTGTGTACTATTTAATTGTTTAGAAAGATTATTTTATAATTCAAGTAATAATAAAATTCAATTTAAAGTTAACTTATGGACACTGAATACAAACAGTGTAAAAGTGAAAAAGTGTTTTGTTTTATTTTTATAATTTTGATCAAATTTGTTCTCCACTCGAGAAATGAAGACTTCGAGAAGAATAGTTACGCAAAAAATTTATGTAGTGACTTATCTTTAAACTGACCAAATATTTATTGTAAAAATATAAAGAAATGTTTTAAGCTTGTATATTTTCTAAAGGATTTATTCAAAGAGAAACCTAGTTTAAATTGTTTTTTATTTTAATTGCGATAAGAGGGTGATAGTTTTTTCATCCCCAAAATCATTTACAAGTAATCTATGTATAATCACATATGTTTTACCGGAGCTTAAACACTTCTAGAAGTTATAATTGGCTAATTGTATTTTCACAAGTTTTGGCGAATTGTATTTGTGGACTAGGGCGGGGGGGGGCGCCGTCTGAGGAAGTTGCGATTCAGGTTCTAGGTCGAACTGTGAGGAAGTGGTTTGGCTGTGGCGGGGCGGGGTTAAACGACTAACAAAGTTTTAATTATTCATAACACTTCAACCGGACTTGTTAAGTCTCGGAATGGGGTCGTTCCCATCCGGTCTTCGGACTCTGTTTTCACCGGGTGTCTGCCAGCCGTTCGGTGTCGGCGGTTCGATGCAGCGCGTTTGCACCCGGTCATCCGTCATCCTTGGTCCGTAAATGCGTATATGCATATATCCAGCACATATATACACGGCCTGGGATGGTGGCTGCTGGGTGGCCAGTGGGTGGTAGAATGTATTGATGTATTTTTCGGGCGTGGCTCTCGAGTTGCCATTGGTTGCAATAGACTCCGCCTTTATAAGGGCACGCCCACTGCCCTCAACTCTTACTCACCCGTCACCCACATACACAACCTCCATTGCGAAAATCTGTTTAATATATTTAATATATATTTTATTTTTACAAAATACGCCATCTTTAAAAGCTATTGAACGAAACAAAATTTTTTAAAATCACCAAAATATTCATTTAAATATATCTATTATAATGGCAATAATAATGATAATAATAATTTCTTCGTTAAATAATAATGAATTAACTTCATTTGAAAAACAAAGAAAATATGCTCATGCTTCAGACACAACAGAAGTAACGTAGTTCATGTTATGCTAAAACTGTACGACCGATAAGCGCTGCGGGTTTAGTATAAGTTACAAATCTTGTGAAAAGGTTAGAAAGATAACTATGACCGACTGACTGATTATTTATGCACTTTTTCACTCATGAACGACACCGTAAACATGCAAAATAACTGTTCCGTCTTTTTCGTATAGAAAAAAATATTAAATAATATTTTTTATTTTAAATTGTATCTTGATTTTCTCGTTCTGTCTAAAACTTTTTCCAGTTCTGTCCAGAAAGCATTTGATAAGTTTGTGATTTCATTGCCCATAACTAAATGAGTTCGCGGGGATGGCCATTTTGGTTGGTATGTAAGGTACCAAGGTACGAATTTATCCAATATTTCAGGTTAAATTTTTATTTTTATTTTCCCCCAGTTATAGATGAAAATAAATGAAGTAAGAAGAAATTTCCATATTGCCTTTCAAAATTTATACTAAACAGAATTAGCCCATCCTTAATTGACGAATCTTTGACTTAATACTGTGTTCATTTTGTTTATTTTGCTTAATGATGTTGTCCTTTTAATTACCCCTTACTGATATTACCGTTGACTTAGTTCATTTACTTCCATCGTACGATTAAGTTTTTTATTATTACTAAAAATAATTATTGTAGTATTTCTTAACAAACAGATTAAACGATTCAACGAAGATGACGGGAATATTACAAAGAAGGAATTGTGTCTATCCGAAACATAATTGCACTCTTCAGGTTAATTGTATTTTTTCTAGTTTCTTAGTTAGGCTCAATTGACTCGATCCTTCTCTTAAAAACTATTAGATCATTGCTGCAATTCTTTTCTTGATAATTTAAATAATCTGAGGGTCACCTCGCATTCGAATTGGTGGCAGGTCTTTCTCTTGATGGATAACCTAAAATGGAGATATCATTGATCTACCCATGTTTTGTAGGTGTTTTTTTTTTCAGTTAGCAGTGATCATATATATCCGTTCATTATTTCATCATTTTCATTTTCATCATTTCCAATAATATCCCTAACACTCCTCGGAATTGTACCCTTCTCAGTGTAGCAATGTGTTTGCTATTGCTCGATTTAGTGTGCTATGTACTTCTACAGTCCATGCCCTCCTTCTGTTCTTATCTGGACCCATAATGAGAAGGAGTAGTCTATGTTTTATCTTGTAATCCAAAGTATAGGTTCTTGGCATATATGTTCTTACACATTCTCCTCTAGTCAGTTTGTATGCTTGTTTTTTAC